CAAAAAGTAAAAATAAAACATTCAAAGCTGGGTGTGTAGTGGCACACACTTGTAATCTCAGCACTCTGGGAGGCTGAGGCAAGGGGATCAAAGCTCAAGCCTGGTCTGGGCAATTTAGTGACTTAGGGAGACCCTGTCTCAAAATAAAAAGTGAAAAAAAATAAATAACCCCCCCCCAAAATAATCAAAATAAAAAGTGAAAAAGGGATGAGGGCCCTTTTCAGTGTAAAGGTCTGTGCTTCAATCCACAGTACAACACACATCATAACATTCCTGCATTTTCTCCTAAGTTATTTTACCATTGCTGGACAGTGTTTCCTTGCAATAAACCATGTAGTTTCTTCACCTATAAAACAGAATACTGTCATACTATACCTTTCCTCACAACAACCCTCCAGATATGACCAAAACTGGATCTCATATGATGAAAGATAATTTGTTAATTCTCATTTGTTTACTAAGTTTCTTAATACAATTTAGATATACATAATTACAACATTCCTTATATGGAATTTATACCTGCATGATGTATCTTAATTCTTATTTTGTAATTATTGTTGCTCAAAAATTCTGTTCCCAAGGTCTTCTCCAAAAATAACACTATTATCATAGTTTTCCCATTAAACAGACAGAAATCATGCCTTTTATCCCTTAAATGTAGCACAGAACTTTATGTACATGCATGTATATGTATGCACATTCATGCCATAAACATTAAACATTTTAAAAATTCATTTTAAATATTAAAAAATAAAATCATCAAATTAAGAAATGGTTGAAGCAATACTAAACTTCTCCTTTATAAATAACTAAAAGAAAACTATTACTAACGTGTCATTAGGGCTTGGGGATTTAGCTCAAAGGCACAACGCCTGCCTGCCTTGCAAGAGCAAGGTCCTGAGTTCAATCCCCAGTACCAAAAAAAAAAAAAAGAAAGAAAGAAAAGGAATAAAGTGTCATTAGGGCTGCAAGTTTAACTAAGTGGTAGAGTGTGGCTCATAAACATGAGGTCCTGGGTTCAGTACTCAGCACCAAAAACATATATGCACGCACATTTATAATGTGCACATTTATAATAACATAGTGTCATTAAAATGACATATGGTAAAATCTATTTTGAACAAAGAAATTGGGGGCATACTTGTCCTTTTCATTTTCTTCATGTTTGGTGAGACTGCAGAGTTGAAGAGTATCAAGCTGTTGTGTTACTTCTTCTGCCCAACGACAATTTACTAGTTCTCGTAGCTGGAGTGGAGCACTGGGAAGAAAATCCATACACATACTGTAACTCAGGATTTTGAGATTAATTTTCTAATACATTTCTCAAAGCAGAGCTCATAATCACATTTGTGTCACAATATTGCTGGTCTTCTCACAAGCTAAGCAAAGCAAACAATACAAGATGAAAAATAGGCAAAAGATGGCACTCTGGCATTATTTTAAGTAACCAAAGGTAGAAACAAACTAAGTATCTCTCAATATGAGCATAAATAAATCAAGATATAGTTATTAAAATGGATTATTCAAACTTTTTTAAAAAATGACATGTATACATACCACTAAGAAAAGATATCTACCACTTTAAAAAAAACTATGACCAGTGTGATGCCAACATACCTGTAATCCCAGCATTCTGGGAGGCATAGGCAGGACACTCAAAAGTTTAAGCCCAACCTGGGAATTTTAGTGAGACCCTGTCAAATACACATGCACACACACACACCTGCCTTGCAAGCACAAGGACCCGAGTTCAATCCAGGGTATAACTCAGTATGAAGGCCCTGAGTTTAATCCTCAGTATTGCAAACAAACAAATAAATAAAACAATAAAACAAAACACACACACATATATATATAAAGCCAGGTACAGTAGCACATGCTTATAATCCCAGCTACCTGAGAGGCTGAGGCAGGAAGAGGAGCACAAATTTAAGCCCAGTCTGGGCAACTTAGTGATTTAGAGAGACCCTGTCTCAAACTAAAAACTAAAAAAGAGCTGAGGATATAGCTCTATATGATGGCCTTCAATGCTCAGCACATACCCCTGTATTTACCCCCACAAGAAGTTATAATGATTTTCTAAGAGAGGCAAGAGTAAAACATCAAACTAAATCCAAGTCAGATAAATTAGTGTCTCCATTTCTTTTTCTAGACACGCTGTTTATATTCTATTCAACAGTATTCATAAGAAAAGTCTACCTCCAGGGGTGGTGGCACATGCTTGTAATCCTAGCACTTGGGAAGCTGAGGTAGAAGGACTGCCGTGAGTTTGAGGCCAGCCAGACCTACATAGTGAGTTCAAGGTCACCCTGATTACATAGCAAGGCCATGTTTAAAAAAATAAAGAAAAGTCTAGCAAAATGAAGAAAAAAAATGCCCCTATGAATCCTATGGCACACTCTCTGACCCCCACAGCCTTAATATTTTCCGAGTTCACAAATAATTATAGAAAAATACTTACCGGCAATGAGGACACTGAGCTCTCTGCTCTGTCAGCCAGCGCTATGAAGATAAAAGAATTTGAATTTTATTGTAAAATCTCCATTAATTTGTATAAATCCAGTATTTATAAAGCAAGTTTAACAAGTTTTAATTCTCTAATGCCTAAATCAATTTTAGAGATACTTATAGAAATAACAATCTACTGTCTCATTATCCTGACAGGAACAAACTTGCAAAAGGACAGAACTTCTCCTAAAATAGTTAAGAGGCTACTGTCCCATAGGAAGGAAGTGATTCTAGGACTATCTGGGTTTCATGCAATCTTCACAAAAATAATGATCCTATCATTCCATCCTCAAAATTAAACCATAGCACTGATTTTTTTCTATCTAAGGTACTACAAACTCCCTGAGAAAGTTTAAAGTATAATTAAATTTCTTTTTTGAAAAGCAAACTAATTCTGAAGTATACATATTATAGTCATACAAAATTAGATATAAAAGAGCAATAGATAAATCTTATAATTTGAATTTTATGATTTGGTTATTTTATAATTTTGTAATTTAAATATCTAAGAATTTTGGCTTTTTTATAGTTATACAAATTTTACTAACCATTTAAATTACTACTAGATTAGGAACAGTTTTATACCACATACTACATACTAGAATTTTCTGAATACTTTTCTGAAGACAACAGGTTAATAGCTAAAAATTTTGTTTTAAGTCTGGCAAATATATCCTGAGGTAAATAACAAATTACATCAATGTATTCCAAGTATCTGTTATGTCTCTTTAGCCCTTTCAACTTCTATAAGAAAACATGAGCCTTTATATGAAGTCAAATAATTTAGTAATAAATTTCTCAAGGAAACCTTGAAGGACAATAAAAGATTTCAGATAAACTGAGTACTATAATCCCAGGTACTCAGAAGGCCAAGGCAGAAGGATCCCAAGTTCAGGTCAGCGTAGGCAACTTAGTGAGACACTGTCCCAAAATAAAATTTAAAATGTAAAAAGGGCTGGGGATGCATCTCAGGGGTAGAGCATTTGCAGTACAGTCCCCAGCACTACTGGAAAAAAAAAGACTTAAAATAATAGGAAACAAGGTACTTCAGAGAAAAGAAGAAAAGCTAGAAGGAAAAAACAAGCAAATAGAAAAGGATCTCTCCATTCCTAATAAACCTTAACAATATTTTTTTGACCCCGAGGCAAAAATGAGATTAGAATCAAGTTTCTTTCCCCCGAAACCACCCTCTGACATGTTACTCCTCTACTAAAGTCACCTTTCCCATACTTCTCTTCAGGGACTAGTCTCAGGCTATACCCCTTAACCAGGGAGGTTAAGGGCTTTTAAATATGTTTCCTTTCTGCACAGAATATTCATTCACTTCATCTGAGACACTCCCATTCACTTAGCTTCCAGTTTATGTTACTTCCTCTTAAAAACTCTTCCTCACACTGCAGACCATCTTAAATATTACTGCCTGGGCCAGGGATGCAGCTCAGTGGCACTGCACCTTCTTGGCAAGCGCAAGGTCCTGAGTTTGATCCCTGGCACCAGAAGAAAAAAAAAAACCTCATCTTTTTTTTTTTTTTTGGTACCGGGGATTGAACTTGGGTCCTTGTGCTTGCAAGGCAGGCGGCAGAACCACTGAGCTAAATGCCTGGCCCAAAAAGTCTCATCTTAAATATCATTGCCATGCTCTCTCACAGCAACCCACGCTTTGTTTCATTGTATTTAAAATACTCCAATGATGTATGTGTTGATTTCACCTGTGCTGCTAGATTATAACCTCATCAAAGGTTGGAACCATAACTGGGAATGATCAAACCATACTTTTAAATACAGTCCAAAAAGCCCAAATGCTTCAATATATACCATTCACATTATATTTGCATATTTGCTTATACAATCTCCTCCATTTCCTGTCCCACAGAAATGTTATTTATGTCTGTACAACTTTCCTGCCTATCCCAGGCTAGAGGTAAACTTTCCCTTTACTGCATTTTTACCTTGTACCTTATTCCATAATTTAATTTAAACACAAAATAAATATGGTAATTTTAATACTAAAAAAAAGTTCTCTCAAACCCAAACAAAAGGCAATGACTGATCCATTGATAATATTTCCAAAAACAATATATGGATGGCAAAGAGGCTCTTGAAAGAATCCTTACTCATCAGAAAAATGCTAATTTAAAAATTAATGACCTGCCAGGTGTGGTGGTGTACACCTATAATCCCAGCACTCAGAAGGCTGAGGCAAGAAGACTACCATTGAGTTTGAGGCCAGCTTGGGCTACATAGTGAATTTAAACCCAGCCTGAATTACAGAGTGAGACTGTGTCTCAAAACAAACAAATAAATAAAAAACAATGACCTGTAATCCTAGCGACTTGGGAGGCTGAGGAAGGAGGATCACAAATTCAAGCCCAGCTTGGGCAACTTAGTGAAATCCTGTATCAAAATAAAAAAAATAAAAGGCCAGGGATTTAGCTCAGTGGCACCACGCCTGCCTCATAAGCACAAGGTCATGAGTTCAATCCCTGATAGCAAAAATAAATAAATAAAATTAAAAATATAAAAAGGGCCAAGGGATATAGTTCAACAGTAGAGTGCTTGTAGTGTGCACATGTCCCTCTGATCACCTATACCTCAAAAAAGCATAAAAAAGAAAAAACATAATGAGATATTATTACATATCTGTAAGAATAACTAAAATTTTAAAAACCAAACACATCAATTTGCAGGAAATAAACTCTCGCACTGCTGGTAAGGACATAACATATTACAGCTACTTTAGAAAAGTTTGGTAATACGTTAAAAAGTTAAACATACTCACATGACCTAGCCATTCCATTTCTAATTAAGAAAATAAAGCTTCAGTCCATTTAAAGACTTGTATACAGCTGTTCATAGCAGTTTATTATATAAGAGTAAAAAACCAAAAACATCTTCAAATGTCTATCAGTATGTAAATGGAATATATATTACCCAGCTATACAAGGGAATACTAGATGAGTCTCAAAATAATTCTGCTAAGTGAAAAATGCCAAACACATTTCAGTACATACTATATGATTTTATCTGTGGAAAATTCCAGAAAATGCAAACTTATCTATAGGACAGAAAGCAGAACACTACTTCCCTGAGGACAAGTAAAGCAGAAGGGCACATAGAAACTTTTGGTGATGATAACAGATATGTTCACTATTTTGACTGTAATGATAGTTTCACACATATATATACTTATTAAACTTAGCAAACTGGGGCCGGGGATTTAGCTCAGTGGTGCTGCCACCTGCCTTGCAAGCACAAGGTCCTGAGTTCAATCCCTGGTACCAAAAAACAAAAACAAAAATTTAGCAAATTGGGGGGAAAAAAAAAAACTTACTAAACTGTATACTTTAAATATGTCTAGTTATGGTGTTAATTGTATCTAATGAAAAATGTCTGGCAAAATAAAAACCATACAAAGTCAATAATTACAAGCAAACATATAAAGTGCTACCAAGGCTGAAAATAAAGGGGTCAAACAAAACTAAAAACAAAAGAACTGGAAAAAGATGGTACAAAGAAAACAAGAAAAGGTAATGAAAAATAATCAAATGAATGTAGTTTGATAAATGAGATACCTATCTTAAAATACAGTGGATGTTCCCACCTTTAGGTATGTGTAGAACACATACTAGGCTGAAGATGAATACAGTCCTGGTCAACAAACTGCAAGTCTGGACTTTTATGTATTCAATGACACAAGCAAGATCTGGACCATCGGAGTCAAATTTCCAGTCAGATGAAAAGAAATGTCACGGGAGAATGGGAAAGCATTCAAATGAACACTGGTACAATTTGGTGAGGTAGGGTATCTAGTAACCAACCACAGGAATGAGCCCTGAAAATATAGCCTTGAGGTGAGGTATCTAGCTTTTGTAGTCATCCATGTCTGTTCAGAAACATTTGCTGGATAACTGTTAAGTCTCACCAAGATAAAATTAAACAAAGCAGGGCTGGGGATCTAGCTCAGTGGCATCACACCTGCCTGGCAAGTGCAAGGTGCTAAATTCAATCCCCAGTACCAGAAAAAACAAAATTAAACAAAGCAAAATCAACGCTGACTTCCAACACACCTCTTTGATATCCTTCATTTTCTCACTTTTAGAGTAATAATTCTGTGAAAGTTTTTTTTAATACTTATCTTTTTTGAGACAAGGTCTCACTAGTTCAAGCTGGCCTGAACTCACTATTTATCTTTTGAAGTATTGGTCTCAGACAAGGCAGAATTTACACGTTTAATAGGTCAGATAGTTAAAAAGTGGGTAATGGGTTCAAAGAGCTCATATAGAAAAGTATTATATAGTTATAAGAGATTACAAAGATGAACATAATCTAATGTCTTTCTTTCTTTATTCTTTGAGTCTCCTCCTCAAGTTATTCTACCTTACAATAATATACTACAGGCCACCCTAAGCTACATATGGCTGAGAGTTCAGGCCAGCCAAGACTACATAGCAAGATCTGTCAAAAAATAAACATTACGGCCGGGGATTTAGCTCAGTGGTTCCACTGCCTGCCCTACAAGCATAAGGCCGAGCTTGTCCCCAGTATAAAAAAAATAAATAACAAATAAATAAAATAAAAATAGAATAAAAAAACCATTCAAGGGCTGGGGATTTAGCTCAGTGGTTCTGCTGCCTACCTTGCAAGCGCAAAGACCTGAGTTTGATCCCCAGTACAAAAAAAAAAAAATCAAGCCGGGCGTGGTGGCGCAAACCTGTAATCCCAGCATTTGAGAGGCTGAGGCAGGAGGATCACTGAGTTGGAGACCAGCCTGGACTACATAGTGAGACCCTGTCTCAAAACAAAAACAAAAACAAAAACAAAAAACATTCATTCATCTAGAAGTTATAAAAGATTTTCCTCATATCCCATCTGTAAGCAAATCCTGTTGGTTCTACCTTCAAAACATATTCTGAACTCCCCTATTTCTTACCCCCTCTACTATTACCACACTAATATAAACCACCACTCATCTTTCACTACAAAGCACACCTTTCCTTTACTCCTTACTTCCTCTTCTATCTACCTATAGTTCACTTTCCACAAAGTACAGCGACATCTTTGAAACAGAAATTATTTCATATCACTCAAAAGCTTTCAATGGTTATCATCAGGATATGAGGGCAATCTAGCCGCGACATGTCACCCCACTAATCACCAGCATTGATCTGATTATCTGGCTAGGCCAGTCTCCCCTTCCTCCCTCATGGCTCCATGTATATTCCTCCTGAAGCTTTGGGCTCAAAGCAGACAACTTTCCCAGATAAGAGTACTGTTCTTCAGTCAAGGGTACATGAGTAGCTGTGCTCCCCTGCTAGTACCTCCAAACAAGCTCTAAGGTCAATGGTTACCACCCAAGTTCATTACCCAAGTCCCTTAATCACATCTCCAAATTTATCTTCTATTCCTCTCTCCCTCTGTTCACTTTGCTCTAGCCACACTGGCTTTCTTGCTACTTCTCAACATACTGAGCATTCTTCTCAGGGTCTTTTTTTCTTCTAAACACTCCAGAGTCACACTGTTTACTCTAATATTTCATTGAGATCTCTGCTGAAATGTCATCTCCTCAAACCTTTCCAGACTACCATATCTAAAACAGCTAAAACCCTATCACCTACTCAAAGTCCTCTGTAACCCTATTCAGTTTTTCCTTCTTATAAGAACTTACTTGTATCTACTTACTTTTTTTTTTTTTTTTTTTTTTTTTTTTTTTTTTTTTTTTTTGGTACCAGGGGATCAAACTCAGGACTTTGTGCTTGCAAGTCTGGCAGCAGCACCACTGAGCTAAATCCCCAGGCTCATATTTATCACTTTTTGTATCCATATCTCAATTAGCATTGGGAAGTAAATGCTTGATACCAAACAGGCAAGCAATCATGCTGAATGAATGAACAAATGAAAGTGCGTTCAAAAAAGTACCAGTAGGGCCAAGGATTTAGCTCAGTGGTTCTGCTACCTGCCTCGCAAGCACAAGATCCTGAGTTTGAGCCTCAGTACCAAAAAAAAAAAAAAAATCCTAATAATAAAAAAGTACCAATAAACTCAATTAATAAAATAAATTAGGTATTGCCACAAAAAAAAGTGCATTCAAGAGCCAACACAGAAGCCCAGCATGGTGGCACACACCTGTAATCCCAGCACTGAGGAGGGTGAGGCTGGAGGATCACTGTACATTCAAGGCCAGCCTGGGATGTACAATGAATTTGAGACAAGCCTAACTACAGAGCGAGACCTTGTCTCAAGAATAAACAAACAAACAAAAACAGTACTAGTTCTGTGACTGCAAAAAAATTTTTTGGTGGTAGTAGTAGTGGTACTGGAAATTGAACACACAGTCAGTCTTTCCACTAAGTGATATCCCCATCCCTTTTTATCCTTTTCTTTTTTTTGGTACCAGGGATTTAACTTAGGACCTTGTATTTGCAAGGAAGGCATGGTGCCACTGAGCTAAATCCCCAGCCCCCTTTTTATCTTTTGGACAAGATCTCACTAAATTGCCTAGGCTGGGTTTCAACTTGTAATTCTCCTGCCTCAGCCACCAAGCTGCTGGAATTATAGGCACGCACCACCATGACTTAGCAGCAAGAAAACTATTTCAGTGTTGCAGATATCACTCTCAACAAAAGGATTCAGTATTTATCTCATTTAGGCAAGTATAAAGAAACAGAAAATGTGAAATAAAAATCACGGTAGATGGCTTTGATTTTTCTCAATAAAGAAATTATGTCAAGGGTAATGTGAGGGATTTAGCTCAGTGGCATGGTGCTTGCCTCCAAAGTGCAAGATCCTGAGTTTAATCCCCAGTACCAAGAAAAAAAAGAGTAATGTGAGCAGGGCAGTCTCCAACAGTTCTCTGTAGATGTGCTGCTGGACTCCCATGTTATAAGAACTTATTACAACCCAAAAAATTTTTTTTTCTGCTTTACATCTTAGGCTTCCCCATAACTTTCACCGATTTAAAGACATTAGATTAGCCGGGCATGGTGGCCCACGTCTGTTATTCCAGCACTCGGGAGGCTGAGGCAGGAGACCAACCTGAGCTACATAGTGAGTTCCAGGGCAGTCTCAATAACATAGTGAGACCCTGAGGAAGAGCAGAGAAGAGAGGAGAGGAGGGGAGGGCAGGAGAAGGGGAAGGGGAAGAGGAAGGGGAAGAGGAAGAGGAAGGGGAAGGGGAAGGAAGGGGAAGAGAAGAGGAGGAAGAGAAGAGGAGGAGGAAGAGAAGAGAAGGAGGAAGAGGAAGAGAAGGGAAGGGAAGGCGGGAGGGAAAGGAAAGGAAGAAGGAAGGAAGGAAAGAAGGAAAGAAAGAAAGACATTAGATTATGGTCATCTCTGTAGTGTCTTATAACTATATAATACTTTTCTACATGAGTTCTTTGAACCCATTACCCACTTTTTCACTATCTGACCATCAAACGTGTAAATTCTGCCTTTTCTGAGACCAATACTTTTTTAGAGCCTCTTCATAAGCCACACATTTTGCAATACAAACACTCAAGTCCATTCCCTCAATCAGATAAGCACCATCAAGGAAGATGCATTGCCACTTATCTTAGTATCCCTCAACCCCAAGCACAATGCAGGCAAACACTGGTGTTTTTAAGCATTTGTTAAATGAATTCATTAGCTGGATGCGATGGTGCATACCTGTGATCCCAGCACTGGGAGCACTCAGGAGGCTGAGGTAGGAGGATTGCCACAAGTTTGAAGCCAGCCTGAACTACATAGTGAGTTTAAAGCCACCTGAACTAGAGAGCAAAACCCTACCTCAAAACAACAAACAAAACAAGAACCAAGACATATCATGTAAAGATACAAGATCCCAATGATAAACTTAACTGTATTGTTTGCTTTAAATGTACCAATAAACTTAATGGGGGGGATAACAAACAAAAATTTATTTGTTAAATGTGCAGTCCATTTAATAATGTAAATATATTAAAATTTCAGTGAACTGTTTCCAGAAGCATCTTAGTATCTTCATACATTTCACAGAAATGATCATGTACTGTTTATTCATCTCCAAAGCACTAAGCAGTACAAACTAGTAGGCCTTCATTTAAGGGACATTTTTAAGAAGGGACCAAAATATAAAGAAAAAGCTAAGAGAAATAGTTACTCCTTATATCACATATAAACTAAATGTAAGTTAAAAGAAATACAACTTACCCTAATACAGCTGAAACAACAAAGCTTGGAGCAATGTGGACACAGGCGAGCATCCCGCAATTTCTCCATGCAAATGAAACATCGGAAAACCTCAGCAATGCTCTGAAAATAATAAAAGATGCAAGATCCCAGGTTAGACTACTGGATCAAGAATAAAAAGCATTACAAAAATAATTTACTCGAGCTGGCATGGTAGCACATGCCTGTAAATCTCAGCACTCAGGATGCTGAGGCAGGAGAAGCACCACAAATTTGAGGCCAGCCTGCACTACAAAGACCGTCTCAAAAACCAAAACCAAATTAAGACAAAACCACCACCAACAACAAAAATTCACTGAACAATGACATTTATTGTGGGCTAAAATCTCAGTTGTTACCATATTCCATACCAGAACTTGGTCAAGGTCCCAGATACATCAGAACATTTCCCGGACAATGTACTTCTTTTTTTTCTAAGTTTGACAAGAATTCTATTCTAAGACAGATTTTTATGTACAAAATTTTCACTGAAGCATTAATAATAATGACAAGAGTCTGGCAACAGCTTCAATATCCCAGTATTAAGATATTATAGCAGTAATACAAATTATGACCCTGTCACTCAAAATTTACTTAATGATAGAGAAATGCTTATGATGCACAACAGGAAGACACTGAATGCACAATATAAATTTTTCCTGGAAATTTCCCCTAAAATAATGATAGAGAAATGCTTATGATGTACAACACTAAGAAAAGACTGCACAAAATGAAATTTTCCTGACAATTTCCCGTGAAATAAAGCGCTTTTATAATTAAGAGGAGAAAACAGGTTTTAAAAATATATGTATACTAATGGCAGTGTATTTTGGCCCTTCAGAAACTGATTCAGAATCCAGAAATCTGAATTTCTGTCCTAATGCTGCAACCAACTAACTACTTCTCTGAGCTTGAGATTCTGTTCTTAAAAATTTTGGTGGCAGTTCTGAGGCCTTGGGAAGAAAAAAAAGTAGAGAATCAGTATTACCTAGCAAGTCTCAGTGAATTGCTTTAGGAAGTGAAGAGAAAACACATAAAATTAAATGCAGGTATTGCATATTTTAATTTTTATGGCATTTTTGCATATCTTTATTCCATTACAGAAGACTTAAACCATACTAAAACCAAGGTAAGTTTATAAAACCTATGTAATACTTTCACAAAGGGAATTACGAAGAAAATTACATACTCATGAATGGAATCACGATTGCAGGGGTCAGAGCCTGTGAGGTAAAGACTCTTAACTGGCTGCACAGTGGACAACAAAGACCCCTGGGTGAACTAGTTTCAAGTGTTCAGTAACACAGCTACCCCCTACCAGGAAGGATTTAGTATTTTAAGTTCAAATTTGACAGTCACGCTCGATAAGCAATCTGTTTTGATGTTTCCAGGCTTTATGGAAATATCCCAAACACGTGAAATCCGCTTACTAGAGTCATAAAAAAGGAATAGTTAGTTCTAGGAACTACGGCCAAATAAGGCAATACAAACATATATACTATATATAATTATATATAATTATAACATAATGTAAGGCTGAAAAGAAAAGATCATTATCCATGTGGACCTTGATTTGGATCCGCTCTCAAGCACTCTTAAATAAGTGGCGGCGAGCAGCAGAGCGCGTCCATCTAATGAATTTGCAGTTTTGCTCCGTAAAGGCTTAGTTTGCAAATATCGGGTGGTAGGAGTATTGTACAGGTGCCAAGGCAGCCCTGAATGCACTAGGCTATGCAGCACCTGACTGCGGAACAGAGTACGCACACATCACCCCGAGGGTCGCAGAACCAGCCCGGGGTCAGCCCACCTCAGAGCTAAGGACCGGATTGAGGTGCCCTAGAAGAGGGGAGCGCACGGGGCCGCCGAAAAACGCTCACAGAGCGGCGGAGACTAACCACCACCCTCCGTAACGCCCCTCACCTCCACACTCTGCTCATCCATTGCCTCAGGCTCTCGGCGGGGCCCTCGGCGACCCGCAGGAGTCCGTGGTCTGCCCTAACAACCGCCGGCCCGAGGTCGTCAGGTCAAACAGCCAAGAACAACCCGGCACCCAAATCAAGGGGTTCAGACAACTGCCCCACTAGCGCGCCTCATCTCCTCAGGTTCTGTGCCAGCTACCCCCATTTCGCCATTTTTATCACCGCGCCCGCCGTAGGGTACAGAGGGAGGGTAAGCAGCGGCCGCAGCTCCTTCCTCCCGCCTCAGCCGCCAGTCAGCGACCGCAAAGAAGCTTCGGCCCACGTGACACGGGCGCGCGCGTATCGAACCGCCGCGGGAGTCTGAGGCGCTGGTCGCGAGCGAAGGAGGTGCCGCAGACGATTCGCTAACACCAACGGTAACCAAGGCAGCCAGAGGTGCGACAGCTAGAGAAGCCCCAATGCGCATGCGCGCAAGAGGGGCGGGGCAGGGGGGGGAGGCGGGTAATTAGTTCCCGCGGTGCGGGAGCGCACACGAGACTTGGCTAGTCTTTGCCGCAGGGTTGCTGGGCTAGAACTGCAACCCGGTGTGGGCAGCTGGAGGGCCGCCAGTCCCCAGCTAAGGCGCAGTGCTCCAGCCTTCTCAAAATTTTGCGCTTGGGAAAAATGTCGATTTGGAAGTCATAGCCCTAGGAGTTCAGATTCGGAGACTGAAGGGAAGGCCCAGGAAATGCACATCAGTAGCCACGCCTGGTGCTGCGCTACAGGTGGCTCGGAGAAGTCCTAAAGTGGAGGATTTGAGGTTGAATGTTTTCCCAGGAATCAAACCCAGGCGCTTGCTACGCAAGCACCTACCGCTGAACTACATTCCCAGGCCTTAGTTTCAGGGTCTGAGTACCCAGACTGGCACTGAAGTCATTCCACCTGCTCATCTTTTTTTTTTTTTTTTTTTTTAACCGGGGATTGAACTCAGGTCCTTGCGCTTGCAAGGCAGGCCACCGAGCTGAGCGAAATCCCCAGCGCCTGCTCATCTTCCTTACTAGCTGAGATTAACAGGCTCCACACCTGGCCGCTCTCTAAGGTTTTAAGATTTTTCTCTCCCCCTACCAAAGAAACGAGTTGAAAAGTTCCATATTGTGAAGTGTGAAGAGGTCTTTGTCATTTTGGTGGTAGGATGAACAGGACCACAGATTAAAGTCTTCAGAATCACACCCCACGCTTTTCTGAACGCTGGAGTTGACATCGCCGTGGGACTACTACTAAAAGGGAAAACGGAGGCTGGGGTTTTAGTTTAGTGGTTCTATCGCCTGCCTCACAAGTTTCATACCCGTACCGCTCCCCGCCAAAAAAAGGGCAAAAGGGTATCTATCAGCTGTGTGGAGTTTTGAGATCTGCTTTCTACAATTTCCTGCCAGAAACAATGTACACACTGTAGAAGTTGAAGGTGTGTGACACAAAAGGACATACATGAAATTCTTAATTTGAACCTAATTTTTCCTTTCCAGTTAACTAGACGTAATTTTTTTTGGGGGGGGTACGGGGGATCAAACTCGAGTCCTTGTGCTTGGTAGGCAGGCAGCGGAACCACTGAGCTAAATCCCTGGCCCCTAGATGTAATAGTTTATACTTACCTTAGCCAAGAGTATGCATGTGGGGAATTAATAAATTCTTGAGTATCAGGCATTTGGAACTATTAAATAGTAAGCAGAAACTAGTTATATTTTCAACTACCTGAGCCCCAGACGATAAAAATTTAGATTAATGTGGGACTGTAAATGCTTTCACTAAAAATTATTTAAGATTTTGAGGGCCAGGGATTTCGCTCAATGGTTTCACTGCCTGCCTTGCAAGGGAAAGAGCCTGAGTTCAATCCCCGGGACCAAAAAAAAAAAAAAAAAAAGTAACTACGTGAAGGTGGTGGTTGCACAACACTATTTGTACTAAAATGTCCTCAATTATACACTCTAATATTGTTACCACTGTTGAGGGAATTTTATTTCAATTTTTAAAAATTATTCGTAGCCGGGTGTGGTGATGCACATCTGGAATCCCAACACTTTGGAAGGCTGAGACAGGAGGCTTGTCACAAGTTCAAGGCCAGCCTGGACTACATAGTGAGTTCAAGGCCAGCCTGAACTACATAGTAAGAACCTGCCTAAAAAAAATCAAAAACTTAATAAATTAAAAAAAAAAATTACTGGTGGAATACAGTACCCCGACTAATACAACTACGACACCATAGCTATCGAGTGACTATGACAAACAGTGTATTCAGTGTGGAGAACCTGGACTGAGGGATGGAGCAGGATGGCATGAGATTTATCATGCCACTAATGAACTGTTTACTTCAGGAATTTGCCACTTAATGTTTTGGACCAAGGTTGGTCATAGGTATCTGAAACCGTAGAAAGCAGAACTGCACATAAAAAGGGCTCATCTCAGGTATGACTCCCAAGCCCAGTATTAACAAAACTGCAATACATGTTCCTCTTCTCCCCAACTAAGCATAGTTTTAACATTTCTCACATTAACAGTAAAAATTTATTGGCACCTTCAATTACTATTACATAGATACACTATGATTTACAGATGTGTATGTGTGCTGCTCTTTTAAATAACCATGTAATTAACTTTTTCTTTTTTTCAGGTACTAGGGATCCAACTCAGGACCTTGTGCTTGTGAGACAGGTGTGGTACCACTGAGCTAAGTCCTCAGCCCAAATTTTTATAAGTACTGGCAATTTAGCCCAGGGTCTTGAACATACTAGGCGCATGCTCTATCACTGGGCTACACCCCCACCCCAAAACCTTCTTGTAGCTATTTCTGCTTTGGACAATTGCTTTATTGCTGATAGTTATTTTAAAATAATTAGGATCACCTAGCATGGTGGTGTGCATCCATAATCCCAGCACCCTGGAGGTAGAAGCAGGATTGCCACAAATTTTCAAAGCCAGGCTGGGCTACATAGTGAGTTCATAGTCAGCCTGAACTACATAGCAAGATCCAGTCTCAAAAAGTAGATAAAAGCTGGGGATTTAGCTTAGTGGTGCCTTGCCTGCCTCACAAGCACAAGGTCGTGAGTTCGATCAATGATACCCAAAAAAAAGGAATTTCTTCTCAGGGACTTTAAAATCAAATTAAAAAGTAGCAGGTAAATGCTCCACTGATTTGTTTTTGAGTTTTCATATTCTTTTTTTTTTCCCTTGGAGTTTTAGCTTTTATACAGAATGAACAATTATAAATACAGGATGAATGAGAATAAAAGTATTATTGAGATACCACAGGGATAGCAAAAAATGGCATTTGAGGGCTGGGGATTTAGCTCAGTGGTACTACACCTGTCTCACAAGTGCAAGATCATGAGTTCAATCCCTGGTTCCAAAAAAATAATTTAAAAAATGGCATTCGAAAGCAAATTTATGCTGGTCAACACTAGCAGGCAGAAGATTTAAGAAAAAAAAATTTTAAAATGTGGCTATCACAGGAAAGCCAATATACTGTATTAGTTAAACTTTGTGAAAGACTGCACATCACATATTAGTCTTACCAAAATGATGTAACCCCATCTGCCATCAACATTTTAAAACAATGAAATTATATACCTATATATATAATATATAGTACAAGTATTTTGCTTTGTCTATTTTATAACACACATTCATTCACACAATGACAGACTAAAATGTATAAACATTCTTTTATGATAGGCCAGAACATCTACTATCCCAACAATACAAAAATAGAACAGAAGCAAATTAGTATTAAGGGACTTTCTTACCTAAAATTATAGAACTGAGTATAGGTATAGATATTTAAATCCTTTGATTTCCATTCCATCCTTTGGCTGAATTTTATTAATATAATATGAAAGGCATCACAACCCTGTCACTCAAGCCCAACCTCCTCTTCCTCCTCCTTTACCAGCCTCCCAACTATACTCATGAACTGTTAACAACACGTTTTCCTGTATTTCTCTGGAATTAATCTCTTCATCATTACAGTTCCCTTTTGCAATTCCATTTCTTCATAAGTGTGGCATGCGAGATTTTAGCTGCTCTGTCACAGTTATTTCTTCTTCAGTCAGTGGCGACAGCTAGAAAACAAATGATAAAACCTTTATTTCAGAAACCTTCAAATACTATTAAGTTCTGCTTTATCACACGATAAATGTTTGCATAAGCTTATATCATGTATGTAATCACAACTATAGGAAGACAAAAGAAAAAATAGATAGTTGGCTCTCTATACACAAAGTACTGTGAACTTTGAGCTTCCAAAGAATTTGCAGTTAAGATGAAGAAACCAGACCAGACCAGGCATGGTGGCATATACCTGTAATCCTGTCCTTTGGAAGGCTGAGGCAGGAGGATCATTACAAGGTTGAGACCAGCCTGGACTACATAGTGAGTTCAAAGCTAGCCTGTAGTACATATTGAGATCCTACTTCAAAGCAAAACCAAAAAGAAGTAAAAAAAAAAAAAAGAAAAACAGAAATAAGGCCAAGAAATTAGAAATCAGGTTTGGCTGTTATATTCTAAAAGTTTTCGAAAAGGAAATGTGGACAAAAATAGTTTGGAAATCTCGGGGTGGAGTCTTGCATTAATTTTGAAGAATAATGGCAATGCATTTAGTGGTAAAAAACAGAAAAATTGATTAATTATAAGAAAATCATTGTCATCGCACAATAAGTTGAAAAGAAAGAAAATGTGAGGCATCTTAACCACATAACAAACTCTGTTTCACAACTCTGATATCCTTGATAGTGGCTTCACACTCAAACTCACAGCGAAATGGCTCTAATAGTACTGGTACATCTACACACAATTCCAGATTTCTCTTCCTAGGGTTCTTTGCACAGTGAGGAAACTCTCCCTAGTTACCTGTTTCCAAACTTACTCCTATGTCACTGGTTACAAATTTATTCTTGAACCAATGTTAGTTTTAGAAAAAATCCATCCCCTTTGCCAATGAAATACACCCCTGGATTAGAGGATGGGCTTGACCTCAGGCATGTGGCTATGAAATGAGACACCCATCTCAAGAAAGTCAGTACTCTTACAGGTAGAAGAAAAATGGATGATGAGCAAACAGCCAACTAACAGTGTTCACTAGCAAGAGCAAAAGCAAAGGAAGAAATGAAACAAGGAAAGTTGTAAAGGATTTTTACAATGGACTGACAAATATGCTGGCAGAAACAGAGTTCTATGAGGAAGCAATATGAGATGCAACATGAATTCCTCAAGTAGCCTCAAATCTGCCTAATTATATAGGTCATCTCTGGAGAGACTGCCAAATCTAGAACACCCAGACCTACAGAATCTGAATCTCCAGGGCAGCACTGTCCAATAAAACTTTCCATTATGGTGGAAACATTCTACATCTGCACTGTCCAATTGGGAGATGAAGAACTGAATTTCCAATTTTATATAATTGAGTTTAAATTTACATAGCCATATATGGCTATTGGAAGCCTAGCTGTCCAATACCTGATAGACTGCTGGTTTGACTAATCAAACAATATTTGCCAAACATGTTCACATGAATAAAATGACAATTATATGCCTTACTGCAACCCAAACATTTACAGAATATCCATCTTCTACCTCAGTAAACAAGGAAATGAGGACTGAGGGTATAGCTCAGCGACAGCATACTTGCTTAGGATACACAAGGCCCCGAGTTTAACTCCCAGCACTGAAAAAAATTTTTAAAGAAAAATTTTTAGAATATTATTCTGGGGGCCTGGGAATTTAGCTCAGTGGTGCTGTCGCCTGCCTTGCAAGCGCAAGGTCCCAAGTTCAATCCCCAATACCAAAAAAAAAAAAAAAAAAAAAAAAAAT